CCCCAAAACCCCAAAACCCCAAAACCCCAAAACCCCAGGGCAAAGCTATTAAATTGGATTTATTTCAGGAAATATATACGATTTATTGGATCATATTGGGATTCTCTGTCTGCATGTGATCCTTCCTCGTACCATTCCTCAGCTTTACCGTCGAGACAATTGAGATACTTGTCATCTTTCCCCTATAAATTTATAAAGTAGACCTACGCTGTTTTTGACTTTGAGACTATCCCCAACCACATCGATTATATGAAATTTCCCTTTAATGGGATAGCCTAGGAAGTCCCCATTTATTCCTACTGACTGGATAAAGCTAATTTTTCATTCGTGCATAGAGGTTCCTCAGACTGTCACATAGTAGTTATTTCAGTAAATAGAATGAATTTTCAGAGTATCATGATGAAGAGTGAGATCCCCATCCAGAGGGCTATCTAGCTTTATATAATTCAAAGTCTGGCCGTTGTATAATGAATGTATTAATAGCATGTTTGTTTGGTCAAGAGAAGCAAATATGTTGTTGCTCGCACTCATTCAGATAACCTTACTCTGGTGCCCATTGATCCTAAAGTCAGGAACAACTTGGTGCAAATGCTTATCTATCTTTCGGTCAAGAGTTACTGAAGCAATCACATTAAATCCAGAATTTTTGCGGAGATAATCTCATTGATAGGCAACTAAGATTTGACTTGAATCTTTAACAACATGTGTGCAAGTTGTCTCTCCTCTAATTGAAGGGATTATCTATATATCAGATGCAGCTAGTACAATCATGTGACTCGGATACTATAACAAGATAATACAAAATATAATTACAAGGTAAGTTCTTTTTGACTCGATAGAAAGATCTATTAAAGCAATTGCTCCATTATAAAGGCCTGCCACCACAAGAAATTCTTGATTATTCTTATCATTCCTATACTTATTTGCAAAATTTACCCTCATGAAAGGTACTGAATCAAATTAGAAATTGATCTGATGTGCCTAGACCATAAGAACTTTGCATACTTCTCTTCTTTGAAACTGGAGTTAAAATCTAACTTATAAATCTCTTTATGAGTTCTAGTTGGTTTTCTATTTTTCAATTTTGATTTCCTACAAGTTTATTACTTAATATACATCAATTTCTCCAATTTTGTGCCCAACAACGACAGTATATTTCTCACAATTAATCTTCAAGATTTCTAAATAAGTTGGGCTTGGGATAACTAATTCAGGATCTATATTTTAGAGTGATGTTTACCCAGCACTCAATTCCTCATCTTTAGACGTTTCCCTCAAGGATGGCTGTCAGTAAAAATCTGTGTTGGCAGCTGAAAGAACATGCTAGCAGTAACTAAATTCTCTCTGTTGATTTCATCTGATAAGTTCTTTCTAGCTTTTTCATAGTATTTTGATGCTAAAGTGTTAGATAAAGAGGCCTACAAGCTAGCTCATAAAACACATTTAGGCTCTTTTTATCCTGCTGCTTCTTGCCAAAAATGAGGTCGATCCAGACATTCAAGTTGCTGGAAATGTTGTCATCTCTGAGAGCTCTCCTAAGGTACATACAGTAAAGGAAGTAAAGGTTTGATTTTATGTTCACCTTGACGTCACACACTGGTGTCTTCGTGGACCTTTTTGTAAGGAGCAAAACTTACTCAGATGTTTCCTTCTCTCCAAAGTCTATAAATTAGAGTGAGTCTTTACAGTATAAATTTTTGTTCATGAAGATCCTTGGCATGTAAAACATCTCTGGAATGGCTTCCATATTCCACTGATCTGTGGTGAATAATTTATTCCATTCCTAAGAGTTAGAATTGGGTATTACTATTTGAATATCTGAGACCATTCTGTCAGGATTTTCTAACAAATTATCTCAAATTTACCCATTTTGTAATTATCAAAGGATAAAAACAGAGAGCTATAAGGTTCTACTCTAACCAAATGAGCAATTATATTGAGACCAGAAGAGTAGCCAAGCCTATTTTGTCATGAAAAATCATACTTGAGGTGATATGGAGCCTCGCCATACCGATCCTAAAAGGTAAAACATGACCTTACATATTCAAGATCTTCACTTCCCTCTTCATATCTCTTAAGAGCATCTTTTCTCTTTCTCTCAGTATATGTGCACAAACTCTTATCTAGCTTTCTAACGTAATTATTTTCTGTAAATGTAAATTTCTGGTCTCTGGGGTCTTCAATATTCAACCACGGAACCACAGGGTATTGCGCTATGGGATAAATATCTGACCTTACACAAAGATGCATTAAATGATCTGTCTGCATATTTATTTACTATTTTTAGGCCAAAAAGTACCTAGCATTAGATAATCAAATTTATCAATTTTCCCTTCCTTAAAAGCCTCTCGAAATTTCATTTTCTCAAATTCCTTTTTAGCAGAATGAATCACCTTTAAATTTGGAACTTGGCTCTCAATATCTAAACGGTTTGGCAGAAGTCCTTACAGTCTACAAATCGTAAAGAAGTGGTTCCCTATATGTTTCAAAACTAGTGGTACCTTCTCCTGATCAAATGTGTAATGCATGAAGTTGAAAAAGTACATCCTACATGTGTCTTTATCATAAATCTCGACTGCAACTGGGTTAAGCAAGTAGTTTTTCCTCATAATTTCTAAAAGGATCATGCTTTGGTGTTTACCTGTATTTTTGAGGCTGATCAGAATCTCAATATCTCCCTTTCGTTGCTCGAAAGATCTTAATATGTATCTTTTATCGTCAATATCTCTGTTCTCTTCAAGAAGAAGATTTTTGCTTTTGTAGTACAGATAGTACTCCTTAGGACTTTCAATAAGTTGGTCAGACTAAAATTAGGAGTGAAACATACTTGGCTGATGAAATCTTCCTTTCCAAACTGTTTGAGGATGTAAATATCACCCCAGTATGCTCCTTCTTTTTCAACCAATTCTCATTCGAAGTGGTTGGCTTTTTCAAAAATTTGATCTAAGAGTTCGTCTCTGATGACTTCCTGAATTTTATTCGCTTCTATCAACCTTGAAATAGAAGGATTGGGAATTCTCTTTGATTCTTTATAAAGATTCTTCTCATAAGTATTTTTCATATCAAAAGAGAGACCAAAGTCGTCACTCCATCTCTCAATCTGGTCTGTATAACTTTCCTCTAGAACAAGTTATTAACCAAGACTTACCATCAGAGAGCTGATCGTCAAGAATGCTATTTTAAAATTTGACTTTTCTCAATTTCCTTGGCTATAAGTTCCTCTGCTTTCTGGCTGATGTCAATTTGCTCACCTTGTGTTCGTCCTTCAGCTAGATATTTATAAAGGAATATACCAGATAAAGATAGGTGCGCCAGCTTTTCCATAAAAGATTGCTTTAAATATGGGTATAGAGCTTCCAATTTCTGGCTTAATTTGTCCGTTCCTTTGGGGAAAATTAGATACTCATCAACTATAGGTTAGCTAGAGGATGACTTACAGCAGGAATAGTCAATATCTAGCATCACTCTTCGTCCGAGGATATCTTGAAACTCAGAGATTTTATCAAAACAGCCATTCAGATATCAGTCTGATATCTTCATGAACTGTCTCTCTTTGAATCGTCCTGCGTCTTGGAGGTGAGAATACCTGTGATTAATCAATAAACTTACTGATGAATCGGTATTTTAGTCTCGCTATAACAGGTTAAAAAATTATTACGTAAATTCAATTTTGAATGAAAAAGAAACAACTTCTTCTTTGAGTTCTAAGGAAGCTACTATTTATGAGCAAACTGAGAAACTTGTTGGATAGTTTTGCATTTCATAAAAAGTTGATTAAAACATACAAATTCTCAAATTTTTAGAATTGATTTTTACCCAGTTTCACAATTTTTAGAGGGTGAAAAGTGCTCCTTCTAGTGAAGCTTCATACAATTAATTACTCAGTTTTAGTGATACTTGTTAATTAAAACCCATAAATTTGAAAATTTACCTTTTAAGGCTGCCAAATAGCTCTTCATCGTCATCATCTAAATCAGCCAATAAGTTTATGTCAAGTATTCCTTTCTGACTGCCTTGATTTTCTAACAGTATTATATGTCTTCAATTACCGGCAATTTTAGGTTCCTTCTTTTCTTCTTTAATCTCCTCCTTTTTACTTTTAGCTGGAGAAATGACTTTGTGTCTTAAATTAACATCTAAAATTAAGGAAGAACATTACTCTCAAGAATTTCGATATCTTCCTCAACAGAATTTTTGTCTTTCACTCCAAAACAATCGTGGTTCAAACTATGCTGCGTATCTAAACTAATTAACCTACAAGCTTACTTTTATACTCTTGCTGGATTCTCTCTCTGATCTTATGATTAAACCAGATGCTAAAAATCACCCAAAACTTCTTACTTCGTGGGTGAAGCACCATACAAATACACATCTCTAAACAGTCAGCCCAATCATTATCCTACTTCTTTAACAAATCTTGAAGATTTCAAGTAATCTCACTCATGTAGTACAAATCGTTACTCTCATGCAAGAACCTATGCTAATTAACTTCTCTTACTGCTTGTAGAATATTTTCAGCTCCTCTCTATAACTCAACAACTTGCTTCTTACATATCCTGTGCATACCTAAACGTGTTGGGGTCTATACTGCTTATCTTGGATGTCTTCATAAACTTTTCGAGCTCACTTTCTAGTACAAATCAGGAGAAGTTTTACCTTCAAAATCCTTCTCTAGCTTCAAACTTTTCTTAATAAATTCAATGATTTTACTAAAACATGAAGAAGTGTAGATTTTATGGACCCTGTTTTGGTCGATTAAGCCAATCAGGTTTTTAAATTCTTCGAAATATTTTGAGTCAGTCATGTCCTCCTTGATGTTTCTGTTGGAAATTCTTGAGGGTTAGTGCGCAGGCTTACTTTTTGATAGACTCTCTGCAGACTTTATCGTTCATTTTGGAGCATAGAGAGAAGAGTTTGGCGAATTGGAGGTATTTTTGGCGTGACTTTTTGGCACCTGACTTGTTTGGGGATGCTTCCTCAGGAATTACTGAAAGGTCTTTCTTCATTATCAACGGAGTAGAGGTGATTAAGTTTTTTTTATCGCTTGTGTAAGTTCCTTGTTTCATTGTTTCCTGAGGCAGACTCTCTGAAAAATATTTCCCTCTAGGTATTTCAACAGAGTATTTTCATAAAAACTCTTCAAAGCATTCATAAAAGGAGACATACTGGTTCGGGCTTAACAGCTCATAATTCCGTATAATTTCTCTGATTTCATAGACAAATGAGAATGACTTGGTTGTCAAACGGATAAACTTTGTATCGTTCTCCTTTGAATAATACTTCTGCTTTGAGTTATATTTAATCAGACAATAAATCAAGAAATTTATGAGATATCAAGGGACGAATTCTGATGAATTTAGCAAGCATATTGATGGGTTTGGGATGCTTCACAAGAACTGTTTCTTCAGGTTCTTCTCTTCATCACTATCTCATAAATCCATGTCAAAAATATTCCAGTTTTCTTTAGATACATATGCTTGAGATAATTGATAGGCTGCAAATATTTTATAGATATCAGATTCGGGATCAATCTTCTTTAAAAGCACTGAAAATGTTGACTCTTTCCTCCATAAGACATAGTGAAGGATATGGAATATAAGCGCTTTGTTCTAAACCTTTAAGCATATTTTCCTTACCTCAATAGAGATGACTTGGGTTTCTTCCAATTTCTCTTGCTTTGCTTCTTCGCTTAAAGAATCTTTTCCAGGAGATGTCTGAGCTGGTTTCGCAATAAAATCAACTTGTTTGCTGCAATGTATAGGGATGATGAACTCATTATCGTTGCTATCCGAAGAGACGCTACCATCGTTACTGCACTGTAAAGAATTTTTCCCTAAATTGTCAGATAGAAATCTACTTATATGAGATCCGATGATTGATTTATTGTTTTTCTTGGTTTGGTCAGAATTTTCTTCATCTTTTTCAAGATTTCTATATATTAAAATTTGGTCTTACCTGCTCTCGATGAGTAAAGTTAGAGAATTAATAATGATCCTGAAGATGCCTCCATTCCTAGGTAAATTCATGTTTTTCTCACACATTGGATTCAATTGAGTAGGTTCGGTCAGAGGTGGAAATGTGTGGTACAGAAGGTCTCTTTTATCCAAATAAAGTACGAGTAGCATTAAGATTTCCCTTGCGATTTGCCGATACTTCTTTCGCCCATAGCAATCTTTACACCCACCGCTAATGTCATATTGGCTATCATAGAATGAAGAGTCATAAGATTCCTTCATTGAGGGGTTTTTGTAAGTTTTCTTGGTATTAATTGACTTATTAAATGATGATTTTGAATGCTTCCTCCTCATTTTATGCACATTGATACACAGATGTTCATGCCTGGAATATATTTTTGGAAAATGCTTCAATAAAAAGTCTTCGTATACGTACAACAGCTGGAGGATTTCGTCTACGGAGCTTTCATCCTTCTCGATAAACTGCTTTGTCTTTCTCAGGATGTAGTTGAGGCTAAAATATCCGCTGTCGAATAGAAGGAGAAGGCCTCTCACATGCCTGACTGGAGCTTCCAGTATGTATCAAATAAAATCAGACTTTATAAGCTGTAGCTGAGACCACTTTGTAAGAAGAGGGAATATTTGCTTAAGCAAAGCTATTGAATTAAGTAGTTTATTTCAAACCCTTGTCATCATTTCTTACAAAATCAAGATCCTCATCTGATTCTGGCATTAACAAGGAGTAGCTGTTATATTCAAAAATTTCTTCAAATTCTTCAACTGTGAGCTCAATACAGTGACTTTTTCCAACTTTTGTTGAGATGTAGCTCAAGAATGCTCTGATGTTCAAGAACTTGAACAGGGCAAAGTTCTCATCTAATGTTGGAAGATCTATATACTTCGTTATTTATCTTCATTTTGATAATTTGGTAAGCAAATTAGGAAAATTTGTTAAAATTTCATTAGAAATTTAAGCTAGAACTTTCACTAAATCAGGTATCATAGTATTAAATTTTGAAATCAAGAGAAAATAAATTTTTGACCAAGCTAGCTTCAAAATAGCAGAAACATACTGATATTTTTAGTGATACTTGGATCTTTGGTAGGCTCTAAAGGTTTATTCGAGATATTTACCAGAAGGGCTAGAGTACATCTCGTTTAACTCTTCACCATGCTGTGTAGCAAGCTTATGCTTCAGAACAGAGAGATAGTAAATTATCTTTCCCCAGAAAATCTCACTGCCAGGTTGCTTCTTTGATTGATTATTCCTGACTGATTTGTTTACTGTCAGAGTTGTATAGTAATCAGAATCAAGCTTTACTGGACTTTTTCCCTAAATTTTTATTATGATATTAAACTTCCACTAACTTAAGAAAAATAGCTGCTTTTCCGTGAAAAATGTAGGAGACTTAATTAAAACCCTACAGATAATTCTTAATTAACTATCCAAGGGTTTAAGACTTACCCTTAAGGAATCAAGCCTAATCAGCTCTTGAGTTGGTACAAGACTGCTAGTCTTAGGCTTGGGTGACCTATACTTTTCTGCTCTCTTCAGTTTATTATTAGACTTTTGATTAAAGCTATTTGAAGCTCCTAGATTATCTAAAAAGTTGTACTAAAAATACCTATTTTATTATTATTCGGTCTCTCTGTGGGCCTTTTAATGACTTTATTTCCTCCTCTTTTTCGTAGTAACACTCTGGAAGATCTTATAAATAACGCTATAGACTTTTAAAACCCCTTGATAGCCTTTTAAAGCTGGATCAAACTTGTAACTCAGCTGTTGGCTTGTCAAAATACAGTTTCTCTCACAGTCACAAAGCATTGCTACATTATAGCTATAGTCGTCTTTCCGGAAGTCAATTATTTCAAGAATCTGGATGTATCACTCTTGTGTAGACATTTTCTTAAATTTAGACTAAACTTTTAGCTCATGAACTTACTGATTCTGCCTGGTATTTTGAGTAGTCCACTTCTTGAATATAGTACTCGATCAGAGAAAGTATGTATTGTCATAAGAAATTTGACTTCGAAGCAACTATTTTCGACTCATATTGGGAGTAATCCTCACTAGGGTTCAGAAGAGCCTGGCAAATATACCGAAAGCACACTCCATACTCTGACTTTTTGAAGTATAAATCAAATAGATATCCAATGAGAGTTATAGATCGCTCGAGTTTACACTTTTGGTCATCATTAAACTCATAACTAGACTCAAAAGGATCCTCTTCATCCACCTTATAGTCTTCATACTCAATTGACTTATTAAGATCTGGGCTAAATTCACTTGGATTTTTAGCCTGAGGCTCAAATCCAAGGATTTCCTTGAGTATTTCCCTGTACAAAAACTTGGCTGAAGAGTGAGGCCAAAAGTTACCTTCCTCATCTTCATTCTTTTCAAAATGCTCGAATTTACCGAAGGAGGGATTATTGATGGCTTTAGTGCTAAATTCTATATTTTTAGAACGACTTTTTACCTTTACCCTCTTGAGGAGCATTCTTGTGATCATCAACAACAGTATTTTGGCTAAAATTTAGCAAAAAGCTTACAATCTTGTTGACAAATCAAGCATGAGGGGCACTGGAAACGGCCCTAAGAACATATATTCGAGAGAGTATTCTGAGTTAAAGGGTTGACAAATGGACCTATGAATATTAAACTCGAGTCTACTTCTTCTCAATAGTCAGGTATCGCCTGTAATAAGCCTCAATTTTAGAATCTGTGTGCAGTTTTTCCATATGATACTGCTTGTAATCAGGAAATAGAGTTCAAGATTCGTTAAAAATTTTAATCAGCAGGAAAATATCCTTGTGAAGACTCTCAAATCTTTCCCCAGGGAATAGTAACAGGTGATCTGTCAGAGGCCAAATAATCTCAAGTCCTTCCGCAGCCATTATGCTGTTCCAGCTAGGGTTCATGGCCACATTCACAGTGTTTTCAGGAAGATTTTTGGTGTACCTATGTGCATTCCGAGGATAAACTTGAAGTCTCTTATCTGAATCCCTTCTTGAATTTTCTAGCAGATTTTTGTTCAAAAATATCTGATAATTATCAGAATATTGAGGATCAAGTGCAGTGTATCTATCAAAGAATTAGAATAGTTAATAAGAAGGAAGAAAAAGTATCAATAATAAATTAACTCCTAAAACTTTGAATTGATCCTCAATTCTAGGATCTTTCCAGCCCTCATCTCTATCTATCAAAATATAGTGTTCTTAGTCTATCATTTAACACATCCTCTCCAAAACATCCTCACTCAAGAGCATACTTTAAAATTCCAGTCACCCAAATGATCCTTTTCTTGCTACCAATGTAATCCAAACAAAATTATATTTTTAAATAGACTAAGAGTATTTTTATTCTTAATGCAAGCGGATATAAGGCACTAAACAAACTCTGAATTCAACAATCGCTTATGGCAAATACCTCTCATATAGAATGCTATTGCTAACCTCCATGGAGGCAGCTCTCTTCCTGAACATTTTCTGCATGAAGTTCTTCGATTTCGTTACTTTAACCTGGTCGTAAATTTCTAAACTGAAACACTTGGCTTACGAACTAGAGCGATTTGACCCTTAAAGTAAGGGAAAAGTACTAATTTTTCTTCTAAATTTAATCACATCTTGATGATTACCTTTCTCATGCAAGTAATCCTCTAGGCTGAGATGGTCCCAGTTGTTCTTCTTAACGACTGATTTCAATGATGTAGACTTAGCCGGAGAGTTACTAAAGGATCATCAGAGTAGAAATACAGGTTCTCAAGGTAGGTGAGATAGCACTCGTCTGAATTTTTGATTTGAACTTCAAGATTGACCCACTCGTGATAGCTCTCTGCTGGGCAAGGGATAATAATTAACCTTCCTTTGTCTGTCTTACAAAAGAAGTGGGTTTCTAGGTTTTAGCTTTCAGTCTTACTCTCTTCAACGACTTCCTGTTCCATGAATATGCATGTTATTGACAACCTTCCTCTACGGAGACAAAACAGAGACTGAATTTTTGGAGAATCTTGATCTATTCTGAAAAGCCCTCGAAATACAATTCTCTCTTCAGAAAATGTCAGATCGAACCCTATAGTTTTAAAGTAGTTTTTCTACCTGGATTGTGAAAATCTGTGTTTAGAGAATCAAGAGTGTTAATTTTGATAACCTCCAAGCTGTCTATATTCTTCTCGGACAAGAATAGCCTCTGCAAGAATTTCATGAAATGCTTAAGAATTTTCACAATCTCAAGCCTTCAGTTCAAGTTTATTAATTTGTCTCAAATATCAGGAAGGATTTGAAGGTATTTTTGAATAATTGAGCTGTTTCAATGCTTGCGATATGCCATGGCGGTAGCTGAGAGAATTCTAGACCCCCATTCCTCCATTATCTGCACCCTACTTTTAAAGTCATTCAGCTCATCTCCATCTACTTGATCTGGCACTTGCAGTAAGCAATGAAACAAGTCAAATAAAGATCGGGATTCACCAATGATTACACTATTTTCCGGATATGTTTTGTCAGAAATCAACAAAAAGAGGTCACCAAGCCGCTTATAAATCAAGGACTGATTATCTTCCACATTTTCTGCAATCCACTGCATGAGAGTTTGTAGGTATAGCTCAAAAATAACAGGATTTTGGATTATGAGCCTCTTGAGATCCCATGAATTTCCCTTATTCCACAATGACAAGATTAGAAGCTCGTCAATACTAAAAATGTAAATATTATCGATGAAAAACTGTAGTTAAAAAATTAATGGCAACTCAAAAAATAGTGAGTGAGCAAGGTAAGTGTTCACTAAGTTAAGCTGGAAGGGACAGTAGAAGATCTAGCAGCTCTGGAGGTATATTAAATTATTTCTTTACCTAAAATATTTCTTGACCACAGAGGAAATTTTCTTCAGAGATTTATAAAGCTGATGACTCTCTTCTTCAGAATTCTCATGATACAGTAATGAGGTTGGAAATAAAGATTTGTCCCGACTGCTCAGAGCAGCTAGTATATGAACAAGCACTTTTACTCTAGAGGATCATAATCAAAGCTTACGTCATAAATTGAGGTTCCTCTGCATCGCCATCATTTGGCAATAGCTTATGGCTAAACTTGCAAAAGAGTCTTAAAATATTATCAAAAAGCCTCTCATCAGTAGCTATAGCCCATTTTTCTAAGCATCTCTTGAAATTAATCACTTCTTTTAAATCAAAAACAGAGGCTGAGGCTTGGATATCTTTGAGACTGCTAGAAAGAGAGAAAAAATTCATAAATATTTCAGTCATATTTCTCTTCAATTGTTCAAAATCTGTCATATTATTCAAGCCATATTGCTCAACTCTTGCTAATAAAGTCCTGATTTCTTTCTGGTCGAGATCTGTATAATAATTGATGAGATATCCCAAAAATTACAATATAGGTGAACAACAGAATCCAAAATTAGCTAAAGTGAGTACATCTTAAAGTGCCCACAAGAATGGGGATATAATTATGAACCAGAATTAGGCTGAGCTTTAAAACACCGAAATCTTACTCTGCTGAGACTCTTCAATAGCTACTATCACCTCATTATTAATAGAATACTTCTTTTCTTCTTCTCGTGTCTGAATCGTTCCTCTATAAAATCGGGAGAAATTAATATTTCCTCAGAGACCAAAACCGGGGAAACCTGCATATGTGCTAGATAGGACAGACTTACCCAACTAGAAAGCTGAATTGAGACTGACTCATTTGATTCCAGTATTCTAAGTTCTTTTTATTGATTAGTTTCGATGGTGGTTCCATTTCCAAATAAATCTATTATTCTAAATTTCTAAAAGAGATTCTTGATTTGGGGTTTTGGGGTTTTGGGGTTTTGGGGTTTTGGGGTTTTGGGG